TTTTCTTTTTGGGACTATTATATGCTCAACAGTGGGAGGATTCAAGCATATCCACAATGGAGGAAATGGTTGATGAAGATGATGAAATTTGCTAAATGAACATCATCTACATTTATGGCTGGCTGCCCATCCTTTATAGACTTGGCATGAAATGGAAAATCATGCACCTATGATTTGTGGGTTTTAAGGATTAGGGGGAAAAAAGGATAATTGAAAAAAGTGACCTCCTTGAGTAAGAGATAATTTTGTAATTGTACTTATATTTTCAAAGGAAATTGAACCCTCCCATTTTCTTCTCTCATCCCCCTTCCTCCCCCTCCCCCTTGCCCCCTTCTCATCCATCTCCTTTCCTCCTTCCTTCCTTTCCTCCCTCATCCATTTCCTTCCTTCCTCCCCCTTCCTTTTTTCCTTCTCATCCATCTCCTTTCCTCTCTCTTTCTTTCCCTCCCTCATCCATTTCATTCCTTCCTTCCTTCTTCCATCCTTCTTTCCTTCCTTTTATATTAATTTGTTTTTTCTGTTTTCTGTATCCCTTTTTAAAAATGTACATAAAAAGGGGAAGAGTTGAAGGATCAAGTTGGGACTTTTGAAGGAAGCCTTTCTATGCGGCTGTTAAGAGTCAACAACAACTGGATGGCATCATTTCAGCTAATGTTGGCAATGCCCTGTTGAAGATTTGGGAGCAATTTGGGGAAGGAACATTTTAACTCAGGAAGCTAGTCCTTCCCCAGAGGCCATACTAACCCATTTTATAACTTAAACAATAGGTGGGAAGACAGGACTAAATTTGCAATTTGGTTCAACCTGAACATAGAACATGAGGCTGATCCTCACATAAACTGACCTGCAAGATGTGCTAGTTTTGAAGAATCTGGTTGGAGAACTCAAAATTTGTGAAAATTCTTTGTAATGTTGGTTGCCTTTCCAAGTTGTCTGGCTGTTTCAAAATGGAACTCCGTTTCCTTTGGAGAAAACTAACTGGACAAAGTACCCCTTAGATATAATTCCATGGTTGAGGGATACAGTGCAGTCCAAAACTGCTCACTGAGTCTCTCCTTTAATAACTGATGTGCTTGTAAAATATTATCCTAGAAAATTGACTCATCCTTTCAAAGGAGGAAACTATGAACTCTGACCCAAAAATAAACACAGCAAACAACACACAAAGTTCTGGTTATCTTGATTTATTTTATTTTTTTGCTATGTTCAACTCCTGCGTTCAAAGGTCAGATGTCTTGGAGATTTAAGTTTGTCCCATTAGTTCTGGACATCCATCTTTGAAGCTTGATTTTTTTTTCCTACTTAGCAAGGTAATTCAATCTTTTGGGACCTTGGATTTCAATCCTTCAACAAAGCTTTCTCTTCCCTCCTGCCTGTTTCATGCTTTTCCAATGGCTACTGGCAGAACACTGAATCACACAATGATTTCAAGGTTTCAAGGCACTTCAAGGTTTATGTCTTCCAGAGGAGTGATAACCTGGATGGTCTGACAAGATTCTTTAGATCTTTATTGCATCTTATTCTGACATGAGTATAGACAAACCTTGCTTTAAAAAAAGGTGTTTTTTTTTTGCAGACTAGACAATAAAGGAAGGGTAGGAATTAGAGATAGGGTGGAAGAATACAAACATCCACTCAACTGCTCAAACAATACACTTAGTAGAAGTAATAGCAACTGCTTAATTTTTTTTAATGTGTTAAACATTTACTTACTTCTAAAGCTGCATTTAAACTTATTCCTTTAATCGACTTTTACATGCTACAGTGAGAAGGTTTTTTGCAATATCATTGAATTATACTAAAATAAGGCATTAAAATCAGAGGGGGGGAAATAAAATTACAGCTAGCATATCCAAAATTAACTAAAGTTACAAGCATGAATGTGGATGATAGTATTTATGATTCAAAAGCAATTGAACAGGTGAAATTCGTGATGAATGCAATTATGGTTGGTCATAGAGTCAGCCAGGTGTTCAGACTGAATTTGTCATTTGTATCCACCTATCAAGTATTTCCTAAGGACCTGGGAGAGGCAGATGTTGGAAGGAAGGAAGGAAGGAAGGAAAAGAATGAAAGAAGGAAGGAAACAAAGATGGAATGAAGAAAGGGAGGGAGAGAGGAAAAGAAAAATCAATCAAATCAATCAAATCATACCATCTCTTTCCATGTCAATCTGTAATTATAAGAACAGCTCAGTCTTTTGAATGCCACTCACCAAGGACCCTAAATTGGACTTAAAACCTTCTAGAATGGGATCAATTGGCTTGGAATAATACAATGAATGAAAATGGGACCACATAGAATGGAAACATGTTTTATTTGGGAAGGTCGAGCCGGCGTTTGACTTCACTCCATTCTTGTTTCCGCAAGACACTCCGTTTAATTTTTCCAGCTGCTGTTTTGGGAAGCTCTTGGACAAATTCGATCTGTTTGGGGAAAATTAAAAAGGAAAAAAAAATCTTATGTGCAGAAATGAGTAAATTGACATTAGCCATTAGAGAGCAAGAAGATGAAGAAGCATCAGGTGAGTCGGGCAAGTGACCCAGCGGCAAACAGGTGACCGGGTCGGGGGCGTGGCCAGCCAGAATTTACTGCTGGTTCGGTGACCTACGCCAAATCCTTGCTACCAGTTCATGTAAACCAGTGCGAACCGGCTGGATACCACCACTGGAGAGGACGTGCAAGATTTGGGGTACTATAACCTTATACAGGTAGTCCTCGACTTACAATAGTTTGTTTACTGGCCATTCAAAATTACAATGGCATTGAAAAAAAAATGTCTAATTTCCATTTTTCGCACTTACGGCCATTGCTTCCTAACATGATCAAAATTCAGGTGCTTGGCAACTGACTCCTATTAATGTCTCAGAGTCATGCAATCCCCTTTTGCGACCTTCTGACAAGCAAAGTCAACAGGGAAGCTGGATTCACTTAACAACCATGTGATTCACTTAATACCTGCAGTGCTTCACTTAACAACGGGGGCAAGAAGGATTGTAAAATAGGAGAACATTCAGTTAACTGTCTTACTTAGCAACAAAGGTTTTGGGCTCAATGATGGTTATAGTTCGAGGGCTGCAGGCAATAAAAATAATATTTAGCATTCACAAGGGGCATCCTAGGCTGGCCTACCTTGAAGGGCTGACGTCATATCCTGTGCTTCCCTTCCCCACCCCCATGCTGCATTTCCCAAAGCCACCAAACATCCACTCATCAACCCAGAGCTAAAGATTCTCTGCTTGCAAAGTTCAATCATTCTTTTCTGCAACTGTCCCGCTCCCACTTGCCTTCCTGGGATATTTATATGGAGCTGTAGATTTTTTCAGATAGTCCTGGAGTTCTTGGATTAACGCCTCTGGATCGCGGGATAGAAAATCAGGAGACAAGATGATAAATGCTTTGACCACCTGTATGGACACAAACATACCTGGCAGTGAATGCCTTGAGAAACAGGTTGTAAAGTTACTCCGTGACTTATCTCAATCCTGGTTCAGATTAGCCAATGCAGGTGAGCCCCCAATTCTGATCTGCTCTTGTAAATTAACTTCCTTCCTCAATGTTTCTTTGTACATGTAACATGATTTGTGGAGATCTTGATGAGCGTGGTTGTTGGCTGGCAAACATTTCATTACCCAACTATGTAATATCATCAGCTCAACTAGGAAAACTGACTAGGTCACATCCCTCCCTCCCACTGAGAATGTTACGGCAACTAGTTGGGTAATGAAATGTTTGCCAGCCAACAACCACGCTCATCAAGATCTCCACAAATCATGTTACATGTACAAAGAAACATTGAGGAAGGAAGTTAATTTACAAGAGCAGATCAGAATTGGGGGCTCACCTGCATTGGCTAATCTGAACCAGGATTGAGATAAGTCACGGAGTAACTTTACAACCTGTTTCTCAAGGCATTCACTGCCAGGTATGTTTGTGTCCATACAGGTGGTCAAAGCATTTATCATCTTGTCTCCTGATTTTCTATCCCGCGATCCAGAGGCGTTAATCCAAGAACTCCAGGACTATCTGAAAAAATCTACAGCTCCATATAAATATCCCAGGAAGGCAAGTGGGAGCGGGACAGTTGCAGAAAAGAATGATTGAACTTTGCAAGCAGAGAATCTTTAGCTCTGGGTTGATGAGTGGATGTTTGGTGGCTTTGGGAAATGCAGCATGGGGGTGGGGAAGGGAAGCACAGGATATGACGTCAGCCCTTCAAGGTAGGCCAGCCTAGGATGCCCCTTGTGAATGCTAAATATTATTTTTATTGCCTGCAGCCCTCGAACTATAACCATCATTGAGCCCAAAACCTTTGTTGCTAAGTAAGACAGTTAACTGAATGTTCTCCTATTTTACAATCCTTCTTGCCCCCGTTGTTAAGTGAAGCACTGCAGGTATTAAGTGAATCACATGGTTGTTAAGTGAATCCAGCTTCCCTGTTGACTTTGCTTGTCAGAAGGTCGCAAAAGGGGATTGCATGACTCTGAGACATTAATAGGAGTCAGTTGCCAAGCACCTGAATTTTGATCATGTTAGGAAGCAATGGCCGTAAGTGCGAAAAATGGAAATTAGACATTTTTTTTTCAATGCCATTGTAATTTTGAATGGCCAGTAAACAAACTATTGTAAGTCGAGGACTACCTGTATAAGGTTATAGTACCCCAAATCTTGCACGTCCTCTCCAGTGGTGGTATCCAGCCGGTTCGCACTGGTTTACATGAACTGGTAGCAAGGATTTGGCGTAGGTCACCGAACCAGCAGTAAATTCTGGCTGGCCACGCCCCCGACCCGGTCACCTGTTTGCCGCTGGGTCACTTGCCCGACTCACCTGATGCTTCTTCATCTTCTTGCTCTCTAATGGCTAATGTCAATTTACTCATTTCTGCACATAAGATTTTTTTTTCCTTTTTAATTTTCCCCAAACAGATCGAATTTGTCCAAGAGCTTCCCAAAACAGCAGCTGGAAAAATTAAACGGAGTGTCTTGCGGAAACAAGAATGGAGTGAAGTCAAACGCCGGCTCGACCTTCCCAAATAAAACATGTTTCCATTCTATGTGGTCCCATTTTCATTCATTGTATTATTCCAAGCCAATTGATCCCATTCTAGAAGGTTTTAAGTCCAATTTAGGGTCCTTGGTGAGTGGCATTCAAAAGACTGAGCTGTTCTTATAATTACAGATTGACATGGAAAGAGATGGTATGATTTGATTGATTTGATTGATTTTTCTTTTCCTCTCTCCCTCCCTTTCTTCATTCCATCTTTGTTTCCTTCCTTCTTTCATTCTTTTCCTTCCTTCCTTCCTTCCTTCCAACATCTGCCTCTCCCAGGTCCTTAGGAAATACTTGATAGGTGGATACAAATGACAAATTCAGTCTGAACACCTGGCTGACTCTATGACCAACCATAATTGCATTCATCACGAATTTCACCTGTTCAATTGCTTTTGAATCATAAATACTATCATCCACATTCATGCTTGTAACTTTAGTTAATTTTGGATATGCTAGCTGTAATTTTATTTCCCCCCCTCTGATTTTAATGCCTTATTTTAGTATAATTCAATGATATTGCAAAAAACCTTCTCACTGTAGCATGTAAAAGTCGATTAAAGGAATAAGTTTAAATGCAGCTTTAGAAGTAAGTAAATGTTTAACACATTAAAAAAAATTAAGCAGTTGCTATTACTTCTACTAAGTGTATTGTTTGAGCAGTTGAGTGGATGTTTGTATTCTTCCACCCTATCTCTAATTCCTACCCTTCCTTTATTGTCTAGTCTGCAAAAAAAAAACACCTTTTTTTAAAGCAAGGTTTGTCTATACTCATGTCAGAATAAGATGCAATAAAGATCTAAAGAATCTTGTCAGACCATCCAGGTTATCACTCCTCTGGAAGACATAAACCTTGAAGTGCCTTGAAACCTTGAAATCATTGTGTGATTCAGTGTTCTGCCAGTAGCCATTGGAAAAGCATGAAACAGGCAGGAGGGAAGAGAAAGCTTTGTTGAAGGATTGAAATCCAAGGTCCCAAAAGATTGAATTACCTTGCTAAGTAGGAAAAAAAAATCAAGCTTCAAAGATGGATGTCCAGAACTAATGGGACAAACTTAAATCTCCAAGACATCTGACCTTTGAACGCAGGAGTTGAACATAGCAAAAAAATAAAATAAATCAAGATAACCAGAACTTTGTGTGTTGTTTGCTGTGTTTATTTTTGGGTCAGAGTTCATAGTTTCCTCCTTTGAAAGGATGAGTCAATTTTCTAGGATAATATTTTACAAGCACATCAGTTATTAAAGGAGAGACTCAGTGAGCAGTTTTGGACTGCACTGTATCCCTCAACCATGGAATTATATCTAAGGGGTACTTTGTCCAGTTAGTTTTCTCCAAAGGAAACGGAGTTCCATTTTGAAACAGCCAGACAACTTGGAAAGGCAACCAACATTACAAAGAATTTTCACAAATTTTGAGTTCTCCAACCAGATTCTTCAAAACTAGCACATCTTGCAGGTCAGTTTATGTGAGGATCAGCCTCATGTTCTATGTTCAGGTTGAACCAAATTGCAAATTTAGTCCTGTCTTCCCACCTATTGTTTAAGTTATAAAATGGGTTAGTATGGCCTCTGGGGAAGGACTAGCTTCCTGAGTTAAAATGTTCCTTCCCCAAATTGCTCCCAAATCTTCAACAGGGCATTGCCAACATTAGCTGAAATGATGCCATCCAGTTGTTGTTGACTCTTAACAGCCGCATAGAAAGGCTTCCTTCAAAAGTCCCAACTTGATCCTTCAACTCTTCCCCTTTTTATGTACATTTTTAAAAAGGGATACAGAAAACAGAAAAAACAAATTAATATAAAAGGAAGGAAAGAAGGATGGAAGAAGGAAGGAAGGAATGAAATGGATGAGGGAGGGAAAGAAAGAGAGAGGAAAGGAGATGGATGAGAAGGAAAAAAGGAAGGGGGAGGAAGGAAGGAAATGGATGAGGGAGGAAAGGAAGGAAGGAGGAAAGGAGATGGATGAGAAGGGGGCAAGGGGGAGGGGGAGGAAGGGGGATGAGAGAAGAAAATGGGAGGGTTCAATTTCCTTTGAAAATATAAGTACAATTACAAAATTATCTCTTACTCAAGGAGGTCACTTTTTTCAATTATCCTTTTTTCCCCCTAATCCTTAAAACCCACAAATCATAGGTGCATGATTTTCCATTTCATGCCAAGTCTATAAAGGATGGGCAGCCAGCCATAAATGTAGATGATGTTCATTTAGCAAATTTCATCATCTTCATCAACCATTTCCTCCATTGTGGATATGCTTGAATCCTCCCACTGTTGAGCATATAATAGTCCCAAAAAGAAAA